CTAGAAACAACATGGGCAAAACAAAAAGAGTAGTAACAATCGACGCGTCGAGGAATGGGAAAAGCTGTGACATGCAAGAGGAAAAAAGCGTGGAAAAAGAAAGGGGTGTGAGGGAGGCAAGTGAAAAGAATTGCGAAATAGCTTGTGGGAAGGTTGAAACAGCTGCTGCCACTGGTGATTGGCTACGAAATTGCGTGCGTGAGATGGAACAAAGAGCGTCACTTTGTGAGAAAAATGCGCCCATTTAGGGGCGGGGGAGCAAGGGGTGCAAGCAATGTGAAATTTCTCCACAAAAAGCTAAAGAACATGTGCCCATTATTCTGTTCAGATAATGTTCCACCGACAATTCTGTTCGGTCTACCCAGGGGATCAGCGGCTATTGAGCCCTCGGGCGCCCTGGCTGTCTTCCCAGGAAGTATACTACACCTAGAGTGTTTATTTGCCCGACGCATGGGCAATCCAGAGTGGACATGGAACTCCACATTTCGTCAACATCTCACGGGTATGTATCCCATTGAGTCGTATGTAAATAATCCTCACAACAAATTGAATGAACTACTGGACTGGTGGATGAGTTGAACAATCGTCGAGTTCTTTTTAGGGAGAAATATTTACATTTGAAATTGCATTCTTGGTTCTTAGTGAGCGGGAGACCTTTGAATATTTCCGATAAAAGAGAGTGGGGGGAGGAAAAATAGACTGAAAATGTAAATAAAACTGAAGAACTTGTTTTACTGCAATCCGCCCGGTTTCTCATGCTGCATTGTACACAACCGAGTTGCCATTGTTCAGTTTGAACGGTTGTGTAGGCAGGAGGACCCTCACCACAATTCTTTGACCCCCTCCCACTGCCTCCTCAAACCCTTCTCCACAGCGATCCGGCAATTAGTGGAGAGAGAAATGAAGGGAAAGGGAGAATCACGGAAAACACACGTGATGTCCCTCCACCAGGGGAAACGAGAGTTATTTATCGGTTGAACGTCGGTACAGAAAATGGGGGGACGAGAACTGGCCGTTGGGTTAATGAAACATTGACGCGTCGCTGGACTCTCCGCACTATCTCGAAAGCGGGGGTATTAATCCACCACGATAGCCATCATTTCCAGGGTGCATGCGCACCGAAAGCACTCTGCTCTATCATCATCGCATATCAACGTCGTCATTACGCTGCCGATCATAAGCCCCTGCTCTTTCACATGGCACTCAATGATTTTACCCTCACATTTGACGTTCCATCCCTATGGAAAAATTAATGCCTTTTCCGATATTTTACTTATAGGCTGGGCTATTGCACCGTCCGAGAAAGATTGGAAGTACAGGCTGTCGATATATTACGTGAAGAATCAAGATTCTGGGGTTTATACCTGCTCTACGCCCAAAGGCCTAACTAATTCCATAAAAATCCACGTCGTAGGC